TTAGAATGTTATAAAAGATGCTGGTCTTTTTGTTGTTGACTTGAGACTGGTCATTCTTTAAGATTATTTTATAAGTGTATATTGGATTCCAGCTTGGCTTATAAGTTATAACGTACGACGAATATGAGTATAGTTGTTATCATTTTAGAATTTATGCTCCTTAAAAATCAGATAAATTTATTATTATATTTTTGTTTAGTATTATTTTAAAGTCAAGTTTTTTCAATAAATGAACATGAATTAATTTATTTTAATTAATTTAACCAATTAACAAGAATAAGTTACTTAGTTTTCCTATGTTGGTCAAATTCATACATTTTAAAACTAATAACTCTTAAGAGTAAAATAGGAAAAATTGTATCATCTATATATTGATTTTGTGTAATGTCAAGTCTTAAGGAACATCTATTTTTTGTAAGGACGACACGTAAATATGAACGTATGCGATAGTTCTTTTCATAGAAAGTCACTCAACTTTCTCTCCTTTTTTATATCATTAAAGTCACCCAACTATGAATATTTTATATACAAAATCACTCTATTGATATTTCATTTAGAAAGTCATCCAACCAATTTAAGTAATTATTTTATTAAATGTTGAAATATAATTTTTGTTTTAAATTAAGTTTTTTTTTAAAAAAAAAACAATAAGATTCTATTTTAATTATTTATTGAAACATAAATTTTGGTTTAAAAACGTAACATAGAGAAATACAAGTTGTGACTAGTGAGTAATAAATGAATGCAACATCAATCAACCATTTAACAAGAGTTTTTGGCTTAAATCATCTTGAAGTATGACTTAAATCTAAAGTACATCCTTATATTATATAAGTAAACAAAATTCATCCTTGCACTATCCAAAAAGTTGCAAGATTCATCCTTCTATCTATTTTTTTTTTTAAGAAACTCACACCACCAACAAAAAAAATGTGTCAAGTCAAATGAATATATATATACACATGGTTAAGCTAGTCAAGTTGGTGATTTTTCTAATTTTTAGAAATTGAGAGTTTAAATCATATTCAGACAAAATATATTCAAATTTCAAAATATTCTTTGTAAAACGTATGGCCGAATACAACTTCAACTTCAAAAATTTCAAATAACGTAAATTTTTTTTCATAACTAAATGCCTACATAATTTCACTAAATTTCTAGCATTTCTCTACATTGTATAAAATTGCATTGTATATAACATACATACGTACTAAATATTTTATTAAAGAAAATCTCTCTAAATAGTTGGACGTAATATTTTTAAAATGATTTTTTTTACATAATCTTTGTAACCATCAGAACCTACTGTATAAATATTTCAAGACTTATGTATTATTGCAAGTCAATTTACTTGATGATGCAAAAATCATATAAACTAACAACACAAAATTTAGATTCTAAGAATGAAAGATTCATTTCCTATCCATATTCTTATTCTTTTTAGGTAACTTTGATCTTCTTGTCGTGGTTAAGACATGACCAAATTAAAAAACAAATATTGGTTCAATCAGTTTCTTAACAAAAATACACTGAAGGATGATTCTTGTTATTTTTAGATAGTATAAGGATGTCTATTAGAGTTGAGTCATAGGGATGATTTTAGCCAAAATACATTTAACAACAAACTAATGGACCAAACGATAAAAATGAACATCTAAATTTACTCTATTTTTACATGAAACAACTGAAGATTGGTCTCTCTGGTACATTTATGCATTTGACAAGCCAACCAATTGGCCAAGATGCAGCTGCAAATCCAATGCAGATACCCCATTGCCCCAATTCAGCCTCTCTGTATTTGCAAACTTCTTTAGGAACTCCACCATCACCACTTGGAAAACCAATGTTATTCCGATGATTCACATGAACAACTTGTTCTTTTGTATTCCCTCAAAGACATTCTTCTTCTCCATGCTTCGCGCGTTGAACTCATTGAAAACATGACAGAGGACAAACGTGTTGAAAAACAATGTTTCGTTTACCCTCTTGTTAAAACCAAAGATTAATTCTCCTTTGAATTGTAAGGTCAATAAAACAGCAATCTGATATAAAGCCTGAGCCATTAAATTCCTCCACATAACATTTGTGATAAGTGGTGCTGTCCTACCAACTGGTTTCTTCTTCATGAGTTCTTCGGTTGGCTTCTCTGTCGCGAGTGCTAATGCCCCTAATGTGTCCATGATCAAATTTACCCACAGCAACTGTACTGCTGTGAGTGGTACCTCACCAGATGAAACAGCTGCTACAAAATTGATCATGAGCGCAGCCACATTTTCTGTGAGCTGAAATTGGATGGATTTCTGGATGTTGATATAGAAACATCTTCCCCATTTCAGAATGGCAACTGAAGCAAAATTAGCATCTAAGATGACAATATCAGAACTCTCTTTAGCCACTTCAGTCCCCTGAATCCCCATAGAAAGTCCTATATCTGCTTCCTTTAAAGCTGGTGCATCATTCGTTCCATCACCTGTGACCACAACCACATGACCTTTCTTTCTCAAGCACTGCACCATTAGAAGTTTATCAAAAGGGGATGATCTTGCCATCACGCGCATCTTCTCAATTCTCTCCATCCGTTCTTCATCTGTTAGGTTGCGAAATTCTTCACCTTCTATGACTGCTCCTTCATCTACTTCCTGATTAGGATGAAGAATCCCACATTCTGTTGCTATGGCTTTTGCAGTGAAAACGTTGTCACCAGTGATCATCTTGATATTCACACCAGCATTTTGGCAATCTTCGACAGCTTTCTTCATGCCAGGTCGATTGTATTTGGAATTAAGGAGGATGGACTGAAAGAAGGATGGTGTGATGGAGGGGGTATTTATGTCGCTGTGTTACTTTTCATCACTGTTTCATCTATTAGTCGGTTTAGACAAAACAGACAGTTTGATAAGCTTTCTAAAGTGAGCAAAATTATTCAAGTAGAAGCTGTTAGAAAGGGGATGTGCCAACAGATATCGATATTTGAAATTGTGGTTGGAGATGTCATTTGCTTGAAGATTGGTGATCAAGTCCCTGCTGATGGGATTCTGGTAGAAGGTCACTCTTTACAAGTGGATGAATCTAGCATGATAGGTGAAAGTGATCATATCCAGATTAACCTTGGACAAAATCCATTCTTGTTTTCTGGCACTAAGGTTGTCGATGGCTATGGAATGATGCTTGTGACATCGGTTGACATGAACACGACCTGGGGTGAAATGATGAGCGAAATAAGCAGTGACCCTAACGAGCACACCCCTCTCCGAGAACGACTTGACAAGCTCACTTCATCAATTGATAAAGTTGGATGGTTAGTTGCCTTGTTGGTTCTTGTTGTCCAATTGGTAAAATACTTTATTGGGACCACAAAAGATGAGAATGGGAACAAAGAATTCAACGGGAGCAAGACATCATCCGTTGATGTGATCAATGCTGTGGTGGGAAGTGTTGCTAATGCTGTTATCATTGTTGTAGTGACAATTCCAGAAGGTCTGCCTTTAGCTGTTACACTTACTCTGGCTTACTTGATGAAGAGAATGATGGATGATAAGGCAATAGTGAGGAAGCTCTCTGCTTGTGAGACTATGGGCTCTGCAACCACCATCTGTACAGACAAAACAGGCACTCTTACATTAAATAAGATGATCGTGACAAAGTTTTTCTTAGGCAAAGGCCACATAAAGGAGGGAAGCCATACATCAATTTCAGCAGAAGTTCTTGAATTATTCCATCAAGGGGTTGGATTAAACACTACAGGTAGTGTTTTCAAGTCCTCCAATCCCTGTTCTAGCTTCGAGTTCTCAGGAAGCCCTACTGAAAAAGCTATTCTTTCGTGAATTATTCCATCAAGGGGTTGGATTAAACTCTTTCATTCTTTTGGGCTTTGTTGGCCTAAAAGATCCATGTCGACCTGGCATGAAGAAAGCTGTCGAAGATTGCCAAAATGCTGGTGTGAATATCAAGATGATCACTGGTGACAACGTTTTCACTGCAAAAGCCATAGCAACAGAATGTGGGATTCTTCATCCTAATCAGGAAGTAGATGAAGGAGCAGTCATAGAAGGTGAAGAATTTCGCAACCTAACAGATGAAGAACGGATGGAGAGAATTGAGAAGATGCGCGTGATGGCAAGATCATCCCCTTTTGATAAACTTCTAATGGTGCAGTGCTTGAGAAAGAAAGGTCATGTGGTTGTGGTCACAGGTGATGGAACGAATGATGCACCAGCTTTAAAGGAAGCAGATATAGGACTTTCTATGGGGATTCAGGGGACTGAAGTGGCTAAAGAGAGTTCTGATATTGTCATCTTAGATGCTAATTTTGCTTCAGTTGCCATTCTGAAATGGGGAAGATGTTTCTATATCAACATCCAGAAATCCATCCAATTTCAGCTCACAGAAAATGTGGCTGCGCTCATGATCAATTTTGTAGCAGCTGTTTCATCTGGTGAGGTACCACTCACAGCAGTACAGTTGCTGTGGGTAAATTTGATCATGGACACATTAGGGGCATTAGCACTCGCGACAGAGAAGCCAACCGAAGAACTCATGAAGAAGAAACCAGTTGGTAGGACAGCACCACTTATCACAAATGTTATGTGGAGGAATTTAATGGCTCAGGCTTTATATCAGATTGCTGTTTTATTGACCTTACAATTCAAAGGAGAATTAATCTTTGGTTTTAACAAGAGGGTAAACGAAACATTGTTTTTCAACACGTTTGTCCTCTGTCATGTTTTCAATGAGTTCAACGCGCGAAGCATGGAGAAGAAGAATGTCTTTGAGGGAATACAAAAGAACAAGTTGTTCATGGCAATCATTGGAATAACATTGGTTCTCCAAGTGGTGATGGTGGAGTTCCTTAAGAAGTTTGCAAATACAGAGAGGCTGAATTGGGGGCAATGGGGAATCTGCATTGGATTTGCAGCTGCATCTTGGCCAATTGGTTGGCTTGTCAAGTGCATAAATGTCCTAGAGAGACCAATCTTCAGTTATCTCAGGTTAAAATAGAGTAAATTTAGATGTTCATTTTTATTTTATTGGTCCATAAGCTAGTTTGTTGCTAGAGTATTAGCTTGTTGTTAAATCGTTGATTGATGTTGCATTCATTTTATTACTCACTACTTGTACAAAAATTGTGTTTCAAAAAAACAAAAATTAAAATGAGCCTCTTAAATCAGGTTCATTTATTAAATATTTAACTTCAACATAACACTAAATAAGAATACAATGATAAACTAACGTAATTTTTTAAGGGGCGTAAAACCTAAAATGATCACAACTAAATAGAAATGGAGAGAGTATTAGTTGACTGAAACATTTGAGATATTAACCCAAAAATTACAAACCAACTCAACAATCATTGCACTCATATTTTACCCTTTAGCTTCTTCTTTTTCTGTGTGGTCTCAAATACTTCCTTCATTTGATGATAGCTCAATTGTTTTTCATACACTCATACTCGTCGAACGTAATAAGCCAAGCTGGAATCCAATAGCTACTCTTATAAATATCTTAAAGAATGACCAGTCTCAAGTCAACAACAAAAACACCAACATCTTTTATGTAATATATATATATATAGATATTGTAGTCAATTAGTTCATTTTTTATTTGTGTCTATTTTCTATCTTTTCTTACTTTTTTTACATTTTAGAATTTCTTTTTATCTTTAGTGTATATTTGATATTATATCGACTTTTTACATTCTCTGATAAGTCATAAGTCATACATATAAGCCAAGCTGGAATCGAATACAATATATATATATATATATATATATATATATATATATATATATATATATATATATATATATTCCGACCATAATATCATCTCCTCAGGTCGGTTTGGTACACACGGTTTACTTTTATCTCCAAACTTGTAGCCATCACCTCTTTTATGCACCAATAGAATCCAATAGTCGCAATATACATTCCAAATATATCAAACTAGAAATTAAACACCATCTTCACTTAGCTATTTGGATATTATTATGCCATAAATCATGCGTGACAATGAAATAAACTCGAGTTCTCAACACAAATACTTAAACATCATATAATAAGATAGCCAAATTATAATAGCAACACTTTAACTCTTAAATTACAATGAAAATAACAAGTAATTAAGGATACAGATAAGAATGGGATGGAGGTTTAGACTCTGAAAAGAAGATGAGAGAAACAGACGTTTTCTTCACAATACGCATAATTCTCCAAAACGATTACAATCATTTAAATTCTACTTAATCTGAACCCAAGCAAAACTAGTATTGGGTTGTCTAATACTTGGGCCTCTTTGTGGTTTATCCTCAGGCCTAGTAGCTTGGACAGCCGTGTTCACAACAGACATCTTGCAAGTGCAGTTAACACCTATATATGGTAACTAACTAAGAGTATGTTTGAATTGACTTAAAAGATGGTTAAATTTACTTTTTAAATTATTTTTAGCTTTGGTCCTTCTACTTTTTATTTTTTGAGTTAAAAATTATTTAAGTGACTTTTTATTTTTGAACTTAAAAGCTACTCCCTCTGTCCCAATTTATGTGTCACTTTTCTTTTTTCAAGAGTCAAACAATTTAAGTTTGACCGAAAATTTGCGCATGAAATCTTTATTTTTTTTTTAAATGAAATTTATATATTTGTATACTATGTAAAAAGTATTATAAGTCACAATAATTGATAATTAATGTTTAAAAGATCTATAAAGAATTTACGGTAAAAAATAGACTTGTTTTAATCTCAAAATTCAGAAAATACCACATAAAATAAAATGAAGAAAATACTTTTTTAAAGCTAATCCAAACGAGCTCTAAGTCTTCAAAACTTCTTGCACAAGTATAACAGTCAACTAATTATGTAGAGTTACGGCATTCAACACGTATTATATCAAATTACTGGAAATTTCGTTATGGAAATTTGCACACTTTTTATCCTTTCACCTTTTGCTTTTTGGATGTGTTATCAAGTAGTCTCTTCATTTCATGTATGATAATTCAATCATTTTTTCACTTTTTAATAAGCGCTATTACGACTATATATTAGCCAAGCTGGAATCCACTACTCTAAAGGACCGTTTGGTTGGAGAAATTAAGTGAGTTATTTCAATATTAAATTTGGAATTAATTGCATATTCCTAAAAGAAGGTTTTGAAATGATTCAAACATATGAAGAAGAAAAGTATAAATGTTTTAGTGAGAAGGCGTGAGCAGTTAACAATGTTAGGTTTAAGGAGATGTAGAGGTAGACTGCAGAAAAATTGAAGAGGGGTAATCATTAGACAAAAAATGATACATCTTCAGCTCACTGAATTACATGATTCTAGATGGAGGAGCATGGACTAGAGTAAATGTTACTCCCTCCGTTTCACAAAGAATGACCTACTTTGACTTGATACGGAGTTTAAGAAAATAAATAAGACTTTTGAATCTTATGGTCTTAATTTAAAGTTGTGTCAAATGTACAAAATTATTCTTTAATCTTTGGCCTTAAACATGTCACGTGAAAAACTGAAATTAAAATATTTTTAAAAAGGGAAAGAGGTCATTGTACTAGATAGACTAGAGATTTCTCTTCTCGGTAAGAGCATGTTTCTAATTTAGAGCACCTTATTTACTTCCTCTTTTCTTTATCAATATCTTTATTATTTTATTACTATTGTTATTTCCAACTGTACCCTTACTATTACTTCCTAATAGTATTCCATTCTCAAGAAAAATTTAATAAATGTGAATAGCTTAGTAAATTATATCTTACATTTATTAATTTTTAGTGGTCATGCAATAAATTAAAGCGACGCGTATAAGTGATACTCCCTCAGTTCATAAATATTTATCATCCTTATTAAAAATTGATAATTCACCCTACTTATCATTTTTAGTAAAAATAGATGATACACAATACTTATATTTTAAAATACCAAGATATAATTGAACATATTCTCCCTATTTTATCCATAAGAATATAATTATTCTTGAAAGTAAATATTGACTAATTTATTTAGTATAAGAAATGTTGATTTAGTTTTCTAATCTCTTTATTTATGGTTGTTTAGATAGTTTCATTAGCGCATGTTTCATTTTTTTTAGTTAAAGAAATCAAATAAGCGTATGATAGTAAAAATACTTAATTTTTTAAATAGGGAGTGCAAATAAAAAAGGAAAAATTATATGGTTAAGCAAACATATACTAGTTAATTAGTCATCATAGCTATAGTATTAGTTAATCACCACTTGCGATTAACATTATGTGATAATTATGTGAGCTACGGTTTCGAGTTTGTATAATTCACAGGTTCTTTTTTTTTTTCTTTAGAATTTGTATGATATAACTTGTATAACTTTTATACAGTGTAATTTTATAAAATAATTTGTATAACTGTTTAAAGTTCAGATGTTTGTGTTTGTATAAATTCGTTATTTCGAGTTTCTACAAAAAATAGTTCAATTATACAAATATACCCACGAATTATACAAACTCACCTGCTAATTATAGGCAGCTTAAACTATAGCTAAAACCCGTAAATATGCATACTATAACTATGAAGCATAATTAAGTTTATTACAAATGGCTATTTACAAAAATTGTGACAAATATTTAAAAACAAATGGAGAACTAATACAATAGCCAGAGATGGCAATGAGGCAGGGCAAGAGTTTAACGGGACAAGGTAGGGGACTACTTAAAAAGGCAGGACAAGGTAGGGCAACACTCTCAGCTGATTTGACCAATGTGAATTGACACGCTTACAATCACGTTCTTTCCTCTTCAAGACTTTGAGGGGACTTTCCAGGGCCGTTCGGTAGGGAGTATTATTTCATGTATTATGTATGATATTATTTAGTACTATTATGTTCGGTAAAAATTTTGAGCCTATGAATTAGTTATACATCCTATAATATCGTATAAAGACCTCCCAGTTCCCACCTCGTCCCGCCCTATTACCATCCCTATCAATTGCCAAGCTGGAATCCAATACTCTTATCAAGTCAAGAACAAAAAGACAAACATACAAAACAAAGATCTTATATAACATTCAGTGATAAAGACTAGTCTGTTAGAGAAACTTCAAAGAATATTATCATATTCTTACTCGTACCGGTACCAGTCTGTGTGTTACGGTACACACGGTGTTCCCACGGTTTACTTTTGTCTATAAACTAACTTGTAGCCATCAGCTTGTTGATACATCAATCAATAGAATCCAAATTTTTCCTCTTTCCAAAAATTTACATTTCAATCTCACCAATATTGTTACCAAAATCATGTGTGACAACATCTTGCTAGTGCAGTTACCACCTATTTCAACGTCCCCTGCCAGGAAGAGATGGCGTTGGGCGTATAAAATTCTCTATACTGCCAGGGCATTACTGTCTACAGCAAGGAAGATTATTACTGAAAACAAGACTGACATCTTAAGCAACTTTTCGCGATCTCGATCCTATACAGCTGTTGATATCGAACCTGAATGTTTTTCGAACAACAGCAAGCAAATGTTAGCAAAACTCGTTCGAGTGAGAGAGGCTAAACTGTTTGATGGTGTAGAAAGCGTGTTGTTTCACCTGAAAGCTGATGCTGACAAGGGTATCTTAGGTGATGTTAAGGATATTGCTTCTCGGCGCAAGCATTTTGGGGTTAACACATTTAAGAAGCCATCAATAAATCTATTGTAGATCCTGTTGAATAGCCTCAAAGATCCTAACATCATCATTGTGCTACTGTATGTTGTAATATCACTCGGTTTTGGCATAAAAAAACATGGGGTGAAAGGATGTTTGGATGGGGGAATTATAGTAATTGCCCTGTTTCTTGCCATTAGTCTCTCTGCTTTTTGTAACTATTGGCATAAACAGCAACTTTATGAACTTTGTAGGCCAATTGAAACTGTCCCAATTCTTGTGATTAGGGATGGGAAGGATACGCGTATCGCGTTATCTGAAGCAGTTGTTGGAGATGTCATTCGCTTGAAAGCTGGAGATCAAGTCCCTGCTGATGGGATATACATAGGTTGCCAATCCTTACATATTGATGAATCAACTTTAACAAAGAAAAATGACCTTGT